GCCCCTTTCCTCATGTCCCAGGAGACAGGTGGACTTTGGGGAATACTCTTTGCAAAAGTGATCCCAATAATTTCTCCACCCCTTCAATCTGGACGGGCCTTATGATTTGTTATCACCAAAAGAATCCAGTGCAAGTGATGGATTGTGGCTTCTGAACCTCTCATTGCATGGCCTTGCAGCCTAGTCCCCTTGTAAGCTCCTGCTGATAAAGAAGCCCAGGGTGGACTTCTTGATGATGACAGTGATGCTGGGGTTCTTGTTTGCGGAGTCAAAGAATTAACTTAGCAAACAGTCAAGGTAGGAGAGCCAGGAAGATTTTTATTGAGAGATACAGTGAGAGGACAGACAGCTCCTGGCGTAAGCCAGGAGGGGACAAGAGAGCCTGTAGTGGTGCGTTGTCCAGGGGATTTATAGGTGGTTGAGAGACAAAGAGCTAGGGATGCAGATCCACCAGATGGTCTCTAAATGTTTATCTTTGAAGAGACACTAAGTTTCTTATCAGTTTTCTGGACTGTTTTGCAGAGTTAACATAGGAATTTACTGCTTTGATCTTTTCTCAGAGTAGTAGTTTCTTGGTTTGGGAGTATATCAGTCAAGGCTGCTTGTTTTGCTTTCAAGGTGAGCTCAGTTATTGACCTGATTAGGGCTGGAGGGGGAAAAGCAGCATCTGGGTAAAGTTAAAGATAAATCGGGCTTTTTAGCAGGCTAAAGTAAATTTTACAATAGCTTTATTTAATTGATACAAACAAGACATGGGCTATGCTGAGGTACTTTCTTATTTGGGGGATGTTCAAATATTCTAGGCCAGGTTATTCCTGGCTTTTTAGTTTTAACTAATCTTTACTGAAGAATGTTTATATGCCTAGTTTGATATTTTATTTTAGAGAATTAATGTGACTCTGTCTTTGCTTAATTGTTTAATATGGAGTTTTGGTAGGGGTCTTCTTCTAGAGGCCTTCACCCTACTCTAACTACACCCACGGTCCCTCTCTCAACAGGACACAAGACAGAAAGACCCAAGCAACAGCCAAAACCAGGAGTTGTGATGGGCTAACATCCTTTCTTATTAATAAGGAGCTGAATAATTAATTAATAAGGAGCTGGTCTTACCGATAAGGATCAGATAGATGTGCAAGAAAGCTCACCTTACGCCATCCAGCCCAGTGGCTGCAGCTGACTGCAGCTACCTGGGGGACCCAGACAAGACCAGTAGAAAGACCTCCCACTGGGTCCAGAGCAAAGTGATGACCCACAGTGTTTTTTTAACTGAAAAATATTTTATATATAGCATTGTATAAGTTTATGTTATACAAGTTGTTGATTTGATACATGTATATATTGCAATATGATTACCACCAAAACTTTGACATCACACCTCTATCATGTCACATAATTATCATTTCTTTTTTCTGGTGAGAACAGTTAAGATAAAGTCTCTTAGCAATTTTGAAGTAAATTTGAAGTGATGATACATTATTGCTGCCTATAATCTCTGTGTTGTGCATTAGCTCTCCAGAACCTAATCATTTTCTAATTGCCAGTTTGTACCCTTAAACAACATCTCCCCAATTCCCCCACCTCCAAGGCCTGGTAACCATTATTCTACTATGTTTCTATGACTCTAGCTATTTTAGCTTCCACATATAAATGATGTCAGACAATATTTGCCTTTCTCTTGTTTCACTAAACATAATATCCTCAAGTTCATCCATGTTTTTGCAAATAGCAGGATTTCCTTCTTTCTCATAGTTGAATAATATTCCAGTGTGTGTGTGTGTGTGTATGTGTGTGTGTGTGTTTATATGTGTGTGTGTGTGTGTGTATCTCACATAACTTCTTTATCCATTAATACATTGAAACTTAGTTTGTTTCCATATCTTGGCTATTGTGAATAATGCTGCAATAAACATGTGAATACAGATATCTTATCAATATCCTGTTTTCATTTCCTTTGGATGTATATCCAGAAGTGGGATTACTGGATAATATGATAGTTGTATTTTTAGTTTTTTGAGGAATATCCACATTGTTTTTCATCATGGCTGAACCAATATACATTCCCAGCAACAGTGCACAAGGGTTCCCTTTTCTCCATGTCCTCACCAATACTTGTTGTCTTTTTGATGATACCCATTCCTAACAGGTGTGAGGTGCATCTTACTGTGGTTTTAATTTGCAACTCCTTAATAATTAGTGATGCTGAGCATCTTTTCATGTTCCTGTTGGCCATTTGGATATCTTCTTTGGAAAAATGTCTATTCAGTCCCTCTACCCATTTTTAATCAGTTTGTTTGTTTTGTTTTTAAGTTGCCTGAGTTCTTTATATATTATTGATATTAACCCCTTATCTAATAAATGGTTCACAAATATATTTTCCCGTTACATTGATGACTTTTCTTGGTTCTTTTGCTGTGCAGATTTTTAGTTTGATGTAGTCCCATTTGTCGATTTTTGCTTTGGTTGTTTGAGCTTTTGATGTCTAATCCATAAAAACCATTGCAAGCCCAATGTTCAGAAGCTTCTTCCATATATTTTTTTCTAGAAGTTTTATAGTATCAGGTCTTATGTTTAAGTATTTAATCCATTTCAAGTTAGTTTTTATGAGTGATGTAACATTTTTTTCTACATGTGGTTATCAAGTTTTTCCAATACCATTTGTTGAAGAGAATAGCCTTTTCCCATTGAGTGTTCTTGGCTCCCTTGTCAACTATTAGTTGACAATACATGTAGGGTGTTGTTTCTGGATTCTCTATTCTGCTCCATTGGGCTATCTGTCTATTTTTATGCCAGTACCGTATTGTCTTAAGTACTACATATTTAGAGTATAATTTGAAATCAGGAAGCATGATTCCTCCTACTTCATTCTTCTTTTTTAGGATTGATTTGGCTATTTAAGGTCTAGGGTAGTTTCATAGAAATTTTTGTATTGTTTTTCCTATTTTTGTGAAAAATGCCATTGGAATTTTGATAGGGACTGCACTGAATCCATAGATGCTTAGTGTACTATGGACTTTTAACAGCATTAATTCTTCTTATCCATGAACATGAGGTATATTTCCATTTGTATCTTCTTCAGTTTCTTTCATCAAAGTTTTGTAGTTTTCATTGTATGGACCTTTCACTTGCTTAGTTAAACTTATTCCTAAGTATTTTATTGTTTTTGATACTATTGTGAATAGGGTAGTTTTGTTGTTGTTCAGATGTTTTGTTTTTTTGTTCAGATATTCATTGAAACACATGAATTTCTGTATGTTGATTTTATATCCTGCAACTTTACTGAATTCACTGATAAGTTCCAGCAGTTTTTTGGTTGAGTCTTTAGAATTTTTCTATATACAAAGTCATATCCTCTGCAAAAGATAGCAATCATATGTCTTCCTTTCCAAATTGGATGCCTGTTATATGTCTTGCCTAATTACTATAGTCAGGACTTCCAGTACTATTTTAAATGGGAATGGAGAGAGAGGGCACTCTGGTCTTGCTCCTCACCTTAGAGGAAAAGCTTTCAATCTTTCATCATTGAGTATGATGTTAGCTGTGGGTTTGTCATATATGGCCTTTAATATGTTGAGGTATCTTCTTTCTATAGATCATTTGTGGAAGGTTTTTAACATAAAAGAATGTTGTACTTTGTCAAATGCTCTTTCTGCATCTATTGAGATGATCAAGTAATTTTTATCTTTAATTCTATTAATGTGTTATGTCACATTTATTGATTTACATATGTTGAACCATCCTTGCGTCCCAGGAATAAATCCCACTTGATCATGGTGTATGATTCTTTTAATATATTGTTGAATTCAATTTGTTAATATTTTATTGAGAATTTTTGCATTTATTTTCATCAGAGATATTGTTCTGTAGTTCTCTTTTCTTGTAGTATCTTTACCTGGCTTGGTATCAGGATAATGCTGGCCTCATAAAATGAAGAAGATTGAAAGTGTTCTCTTCTCTTCAATTATTTGGAAGAGTTTGAGAATGACTGATGTTAATTCTTTTTTAAATGTTTGATAGAATTCACCAGTGAAGTTATCTGCTCCTGGAATATTCTGTATTGGGAGGTTTTGGTTACTGATTCAGTCTCCTTACACATTTACTAAGATTTACTACTTCCTGATTCAGTATTGGTAGGATGTGTGTTTCTAGGAATAGAGCCATTTCTTCTAGTATATCCAATTTGGTGGTCTATGATTGCTCATAGTAATCTTTTATGATCACTTGTATTTCTGTAATAGCAGTTGCAATATTTTCCTTTTTCATTTACGATTTTATTTATTTGACTCTTCTCTCATTTTCAAAAATAGCTAAAGGTTTATCAATTTTGTTGATCTTTTCATAGATGTAGTTCTTACTTTCACTGATATTTTCTATTGTTTTTTTTTCTGGCCTATAATTCATTTATTTCCACTCTGATCTTTGTCATTTCCTTCCCTCTACTAACTTTGAGATTAATTTGTTCTTTCTCTCATTTCTTGAGGTTCAGAGTTAGGTTGTTTATTTGAGATCTTTCTATTTAATAGATGCATTTATCAGTATAAACTTCCCTCTCAGAATGGCAGCACATGCTTCCAATATTCCAGCTTTCCTCTTGCTGACCTCTAGTTATATCATTGTGATCAGAAAAGATACTTGATATAATTTCAATCTTTGCTAAGACTTGTTTTGTGGCATATCTTATGACCTATCCTGCAGAATGTTCTGTGTACACTTGAAAAGAATGTGTATTCTGTTGCTGATGGATGGGATGTTCTATAAATGTGTTATGTCCATTTTGTCAACTGTATGGTTCAAATCCAACATCCGTGTTAGTTTTCTGTCTGGACAATCTATCTATTACTGAAACTGGCATAGTGAAGTCTTTCATCATTGTATTAGTATTATTATATTGTTGTCTATTTCTCTCTTCAATCTCTTACTATTTGCTTAATATATTTAGGTGCTCTGATGTTGGATGCATATATATTTACAATTGTTATATCTTCTTGAAGAATTGACCCCTTAAAAATAAGGAATGCTTCATGAATTTGCATGTTATCCTTGCACAGGACCATGCTAATCTTCTCTGTATTGTTCCAATTTTGCATGTGTTGCTAATGTGAACATCACCCATGATACCTTGAAGAGATAAAATTGTTTTAAGCTACTGAATTTTCAGGTGATTTTTAAATGGCAATTGTTTTTAAATAGATAATTGATAAAGACCTAATCTGACTGATGAGTCTAGAAAGGGTTGAGGGTACACAGCCCACCCCTTTCCTCTCATTCTCCTTTTGAGAGGAAACAGCCCACTGAGAATGCACATTCTCTTTTTCTCATCCATGCCATAAATTTTAGAAGTTTGAGAGGCACTGATAAGACTTTATTTCCAAGTGCTCAAGGGCCAGGAGTTAAAGTGAATATTTGACTAAAATCAAGGCCAAACCCAAATACTGCCATGAAAGAAAGAAGTTGAACAAAGAATAAATCTGAAAAATAATAAAAAATTTAGAATTATTATAATAATTATAGTCACATATTAAAAGTTGATTAGTAAAATTAAAATGCATTTTAAATGTTTTTTCTAACAATATATTCCATTTTCATTTCTCTTCATATTCTTTGGAATGTCATATTTTAAAGTAATTAATCAAGATTTTGAACTTTTTCTTCCTCGTGAAATGTTAAGGTGGCAGAAATGATAATATAATTCATTCTCCCAAGATGTGAAAAATTCTGAAATAGGACTTTTTTATTGAAAATACATAGTACTTTTGGATATGGGACTTCGCTTTGTCACTTTTCTGTTACTTATTTTTATGTGCATTAGGTTTCCTAATTATCAGAAGGATATTTTGTTTTATTTTTCCTGATTATCAGAAAGATATGTTGTTTCTATGAAGGATTAAATTTTTTTAAAATTTAAAAGTGATTTTTCTGAATTTTTCTTGCTCTATTTGTCTGCCCCACTTTTATTTGGACCTTCTCTTTCCTTGATCTATGTTGTTCTTTCCTGATCAATTTCGATTTGGCTCCTACCACTTTGCCTGAGTGTGGGGCCCTACGGAAGGTGGGAAGGTGGTGCTGCTAAGCCTGTGAGCCCAGCATACTAAATACCCCTTGCTCACCTGCTAATCAAGGAGCAAACTCTTCCTATTTCTGCTGCTGCTCTCACTGGCCCACTCACCTCTCTGTGAGCATCTGGTGGCCATTTTTGGGTGTCCTATTATCAGATTGTTGGTCACCCTGTGGCCTCCCTCTGCTTTCTCCTGAATGGATGCTGATATGTGCTGGTCTTATGTCTGTTACTGGTTTGTATTTTGAGCCTGCTGACACCTTGATTTTAGGATTTTAGCCTCCAGAACCGTGAGACAATGAACTTTTTTTATGTTAAGCCACCCAGTTTGTGGCACTTTGTCAAGGCCTCCCTAGGAAATTAATACTTTAAATTCAGGCTGTGAAGGCCTCCCATCTTCATGGTCTGCAGCCTGTTTTGAGCAGTGAAGTTGGAGTTTGCAGTCACAAAAAGACATAACTAATCTCACTGACTCTATGATGAACACAGAACTCAATACTTAAGCTGCTTCCAGTGCGGAAATCATTTTCCTTTAACCGAATGTTTGCTTTAGCCACAACAGATTAGAAAAAGCTCCAGTTAGGCAGTTCAGTGTCAGATTACAGCAGTCTATGACTTGCAACAGAGAATATGCTAAGTAATATGATGTAAATGATGATATGATATGAGAACAGTGTTATAGAAATATACATTTTTTAAAAATCTGCCAACCAAGAAAAATTCTCCACAAAGAGAAAGAAACCAGTGTTATTGAATAAGCATTAAACCAGAATGTGATGTGCATCAAATGCAATCTGCTAAGAGACTGCAGAAACAGAAAGAAATTTCATCCTTTTCCATGCAGATACAACCCATTCCATACATGTTCTCAAGCTAAACAGTAACTAAAGTCCAAATAAGAAGATGACAGCAACACTTGTCACACAGAGTTCATCCTAAATTCACCCAGTAATTGGGGTGGACCATCTGTGTTAGCTCACTGGCTTTATCCCAAGGAAAAGCAGACTTCTCATATCTTTATGACAGGAGATCATTTTGTAATTTGAAGCAAGGGTCCTGCGCAAATTAGGCTGTTACTTTCCCACAGAAACAGAGATAAAGGTTCTGTCTGTCTTACATTTCAAAAAGATGGCTTCCAGGTGCTTGAGAAAGCATTCGACTTTCAAGTGAATTATTATAATAGCTAACTTCAAATGAAATAATATGAATGTTCCCTTTTATGCTTCTAGTTCCTATAAGAAGGTCTTGGTAAGTCAGTTTTTGGTTCTGGTTCTCAGTCCTTTCCAGTGGATTGCCTTGGACATTAATTCATAGTGGTTGAGAAAAAATAATATGAAAAGTAACTCATTTACTCAAAATTTCCATAATTCCCTTCTGTGAATTGTCCCATGAAAAAGATTTTCATGGTTGTAGCAGATATTGTTCATGGTCCTCTCTCCTTCTTCCATAGAAGTAGAATTTTTAACCAGGCACATAGATGTACAGAATAAAGATTACATTTTTAGCCCTTTTTAGGTAGGTGTGGTTATGGCACAAAGTTCTGATCAATAGAACATAATCAAGTCACTTCTTAACTCCTAAGAAATATCTTTGAGAGGAGAGGGGATTCTCTTCTGCTTTCCATTTCTTTCTTCCTGCTGGATGGAATGTGGATGTGTAGGCTGGAGCTGGAGCATCCAAATGGGACCATGAGATGGTCTCAACAATGGAAGCCTGAGCCTTGATGACCAAAAGAGCCAAAGTAGTTCTGGACTATCTATCTCTGGAATTATACATTAAAAAGAAATAAATTTTTATCTACTTTAAGTCATTAGACTGATTTTTTTTTCTGTCCCTCCTTGTTGGACTTAATCTTAACTGATCAATAGTCAAATATATCAGGGAAATTCTGCATATCTTTTCTATGAACTACTAGAGGGTATTGGCATATAAAAATTCCAGAAAAATCTATATCAAAATAAACTTTTAGTTTAGTTTAATCCTCTAAACCCCAGTGTTCTCCTTTTTTATTAACACACTATAAAGACCATCTTATTATTACACAGTGGAGGGCCCTGCTTCAAATATGGTAGAATCTCTATAACAATATAACTTTGCTACCTTTGCTGCCATTAAACAAAAACCTCCATATCTCTAAGCTGTATTCTGATGAATATTTAACTCCATACTGTGTTCAGAGTGGTCTTTCAAATCCACATTACACCATCTGAACCCTATGAGCCAAGGGAGGTTTCATAGCCTAAGTAAAGTTGTTGCTTAAGTGATCAAGTCATCTATAGACATTTTAAGGCATGTATTAACTGAGAATTCTGCTAATACCAATCTTAAGAGCTTGTTTTTGGAAAGTGTCTGTTTGTTTCTCCAACAGGCAGTCTTACTGTCTGACCCAAGACTGTTCTTGGGTCAGATTTGGTTCACTCAAGAAGAATCTCTAGAAGACTTTATCATGGGCTACAGCTATGAATCAGTCGTGTAACACATTATTTAAGAGATACCCAAATTGCAGTGTTCAGACTTAGCCTTAGTTGTTCAATATAGAGCTTTACATGTAGCCAGACCAACAATGCACTGTATTTGTGTAAGTTTAACGCCTGGTTTTACCAGGAAGTGTGTTCCACAAGCGCATTGATATCACTATTAAACTAATGTGAAGGTTCCTCAAAGGCCATGACTTGTTTTTCTTTTCAGTCCCTTTGGTGATGAGCACAGGACACACATTGGACCTCAGGTTATTGCTAACGGAGTCACCTGGGTTCCCTTAACAAGCACATAAGCAGTTTTGCAGAAGCTCTATTTCAAAACTTAGCTTTAACAGCACCTCTTTTTCTCTGCTTCTCATGAGATAGTTAAGGTAGGGTTTTTTTTTTATACACTTAATGGAATCTATTTTTGTTTCCCAAAAGCTATTTCCTAATGAACTAGTCTTGACACACATACTCAGGCATGAGAAGCAGGAAAGTTTCCAATTATGCTGAGGTCCAAATCTTCCATAATCTAATTAATTGGGTCACACTGATGTTTTCAGAACCTTCAGACCAGAAGTGAATTCAGTGTGTTCTAGAGCTCAAGTGTGTCTGGCCTGAATGCGCTGGCGTGGCCCGCTGCCCTGCAACACAGTTTGCTCCCTTGTGTTTTTCTGTAAAGATAACACTATTTTCCATCATTCAAGTTTGTTTGGCTTCTACAGAGTGAGTAAAGCTTGGCAATTCCTCTCTTAGAACTAGTGCTCTAAGTTCTGAATCACCAAATAAAAAAATTTCAGAGAATAACAATTTTTCTTTATTCATTGTAAAAATGGAAGAGATCCCCATTAGAGAAGGATCCTGACTTTAATTCCTCCCTGCTAAAGTAGGGACTGCCTGGGGGCAGGGGTTGGGGGCATTCTGCAGCTATCATTAGAAATAGCATCAAAGGTAAGGTCTTTACTGTGCTTGGAGAACCATATGAAATACTCTATGTTAACTTCTGCAAATGAAATACAAGATAATCCTGCCAAAACTATACCCATATTTGAAGCCATCACACCGAAGATGTAAGGTATAATTTTCTATGGGTCATTCCCTATTAAAATTTGAACTAGATCAGAGTTGTAGGGCTTTCTCTTCTTGCTTCCTTCTGTTCATGTTTTTCCTCACTTTTTACAATCTCAGAATATATTGTGACTCTAGAATGGTAATTTTCAAACCTGAGTGTGCATGAGGCTCACATTCATAGACTGATTCAGTAGGCATGTACTGGGTTCACATTTATAACAAGACCCACATATTTATTTGTTTGTTTTTCCATAACTGACATTGGGACCTGCATCTGACCATTGCCTATCACTGACCATTGTCTATCTCCTTTCTTTTCCAGAAGAAGCAAACTCACCTCCTTCCCCTCATATCTGGGCCTCCCATAGTCCATGTCTGATTGACCAAATCTGTCCCTGGATTATGCTGAAGAACTAAGATGGGGTCTGTGATTTTTATTTAATGTATGAATTAATGAAGGAGTCAGTAAGATAATAAAATGGTTCAAAATCATACACACACACACACACACACACACA